CTTCAGCCAAATGGCCTTTAACCAGAGAACCCAATACATCTGCTGCACCCCGCCCACCCCGGCCCCCGGGCGGAGCGACGTGACGTCCCCTAATGTAACAGAGGATCATCTCCCCATCAGGGTTCCTTCTCTGCATAGCAACATCCAACCCTGCAGCACACACATACACGATATTCATACATCCGAGCAATGAGAGCTGTCTCAAGCGACAATCCTGAAACCATACTACCCTGAAAGGCTTGTAATTTATCCTGCCAAGTGAAAATTCGATACCAGCAGCATAAACGTGTTTGGTCCCACAGAATAATAAAAGACAGAGTGAATTGTGTTTTAATATAACTATTCAGGTTATACTTAAATCAAATGGAATTTCAACTTGCTTAGAATAAAAAAATGGCATAAATACAAGAAAGGGAACAATTCAGCCCATTATACCAGCCGCAGTTGGTATAGATATGAAAAAGAAAATCGATTTACTTCACCATCCAGCCAGAAAGAAAAACAATGTTTGTACAAAGGCAGCCAATGAGGAATGTCCACGCTACACAAGGTACTTAGAACGCCTCAGAACGACTCCACATGATACATACGGGAGTGTTGTTTTGGAATACTGGACAGAGCGACGTCAAGCATGGGCAGAGTCTTGCTGCTCTGCTCTCTCCTCTTGAACAGCTTCCACACACTCTCTCCTGGCTTCTAGCAGGCTGAAGGTCCGACTAAAGCTTGTGTCAAACACATGATGAACCCCTGCAATAATGATGACAATCTTTAGTGACTTTGGTCTGCTAAATCAGCCTTATCATTTACATTTCCAGTTTTCTTTGAGTTGTGTAGGACTTGAGAAGAATATAATATGTATCCACTTTTTCACACCAATGATTATCAATGACTTTTCCATGACTTCCTGACTTTATACCTATTTCCATGACCAAAAAATTACTCAATCTCAGCGTACCACTGAAATGGTTATTTTTAACATGGAAAGAGGAAATGAAGTCTGCATATGAAACATGTTGTGCCATATCTAAAACAATCAAATAGGCTACTAGCTTCTACAGACTAAAGCAACTAAAATCTCTCACCCGCAAAATACCTCATAGTTAGAATGACATTTTTACGTTTCATTACTATACGATACAGTATTTATTACCATTATAGTATTACTATTTTGGCGATTAGATAAAATATAAATTATATTTGATGCAACTTTAGTTACATATCCATGACTTTTCCTAAACTTTGGAACAAATATTG